CCCCAAAACCCCAAAACCCCAAAACCCCAAAACCCCATGATTGCCAATGTTAGCTAATTTAGGATTAATAAAGAAATATTGGAGTAATTATTTAGAAAATGGGATTAGCATCTTGCAAAGAAAATAATATATCGATCTATCGTAATAATTTATCCTAAAATTTTGATTCTAACTCTGATTCTGGATCTTACGGGTCATAGTCATAGTCAGAATCAGATTCATAGTAGCAGTCTCCTCTTTATGTTAAAAAGAATAACAATAAAGTCTAGATTACAAAATAAGATAATTTGATGATTGATGAATAAAAAAACTCAATTAATGAGGATGGATGAGATTTAAAGTAAAGTAAACATGAAAAAAAAATAGATCACAAATAGGCCAATCACTAGGATAAAAATAAGAATAAGCATCAAACATCAAATTCGGATTCTTATTGGAAGTGTTATGGTAATTTAAACTTCTCATATAATTTTGAATAGCTGAATCAAGGTAGCCACCTACTACGAGGCTATAAATCCATGGGACAAGACTCGATAATTGCAGTTATGATGACTAAATGCCAGAAAGCCCATGCTTTGAATCAGATCATGAGGACTAGCAACTGTTGCTAGTCAATCACACAGAAAAAAATGGAAAGCAACTACAAAATTCTGAACAAAATTCACCTCACCATGGAGTGGATACATCAGGTGGAAACAGCGCTTAACTCCATGATAGAGAAAGAAGGTTCTCTGTATTTAGGGATCATAAATAATTGAAAGTAGATATTGATGTTGCTAATTAGAATTCGAGGCATAGGTAATAACATGTTATAAAAATTGATACCTACCCTCTACAGATAGCTAAGGCTGCTCCTCGTAGAAATGAAACTAATTTTGCTACTAGTGTAACTTCATAGGTAATAGCATAGAAGAACACCTTAACTAATATATAATAGCTAAATTAAAATTAATTGAACCAGAATGGACGTTAACCTAAATAGATAATGTCAAGTACTTAGAACATAAAATTCTAGATATCACAACAGCAGCCATATCTTTAAAATTATAAATCTCAAAACATAAACTTTTCTACTGCTCATAAAGATTCAGACAAAGGTAAATTAAAGATAGATGTTTCAGTCTTCGTCCATGAACAAAAAGGAAAAATAAAGGCTAGATATAGAATTTTGGAGACAATAGGGAAAGGTTCCTATGGAGAAGTTAAAAAAATTCAATCTAAAACAAATTATGAATTGAGAGCGATGAAAATCATTAGAAAAGAAGATGTTTCAAAGGAGTACATGCAATCTTTGCTCAATGAGATAGATATACTTAAGTAATTGGATCATCCAAATATCGTTAGGATTTACGAGTTTTATTAAGATAAACTACATTTTTACTTGATAACTGAGTATATTGAAGGTGGAGAGCTTTTCGATAAAATAACAAAAGTAAAATGCTTTACTGAAGCTGATGCAGCTAAAGTTATGAAGCAGGTAAGAAAAGTTTTAGATATTAACACATATTATAGCTTTTATCTGCTGTTGTTTACTGTCATAATAAGAAAATTGTTCACAGAGATTTAAAGCCTGAGAATTTGCTGATTGATTTGAAAACTTAAGATTCCCTCAAGGTCATTGATTTCGGAACGTCATAAATATTTGATCCAAATACTAAAATGCATTAAAAATATGGGACAGTAAGTAAAATTACTTTAAGATAATTTATATAGCCTTATTATATTGCGCCTGAGGTATTATAGAGAAGGTACGATGAGAAATGTGATGTCTGGAGTTGCGGTGTTATAATGTATATTCTACTTTGTGGATATCCACCTTTTAAAGGAAAAAATCATAAAGAAATATTTGATAAGATTAAGACAGGAAAATTTTCATTTGCTGCTGCTGAATGGAAAAATGTTTCAAGAGAGGCAAAAGTAATGATTAAAAAAATGCTGACCTTCACTCCCGAAGAAAGAGTCAGTGCTCATTAGGCACTTGAAGACGAATGGATCGTTTAAAATGCTATGAGATAAACACAGAAATCTCTTGACTAATTTCATCAACCAATTATGAATGACATGATGGAAAATCTTAAAAAGATAAATGTAATCAATACATTCCATTAAATCTTATTTTCTTAGATTGAGTAAAAACTTTAATAAGCAGTTCTAACATACTTTGCAAACTACATGAATTATGATTAGGAGAAACGACGTCTGCTTGAAATATTTCAAGCATTCGACACTAATGGAGATGGCTAACTTGATTACAAGGAGCTTTTAGAAGGTTACACAACATACTTTAATGGTGACTATGAGAGAGCAGAAATTGAAGTGACTGAAATCCTTGAAAAACTTGACTTCAATCACAATGGAAATATCGATTATTCTGAGTTCATGATTGCTCATTTAAATGTTGCTTAAATGGTACACGAAGATAAACTGAAAGAGGTGTTTAATTTGTTTGATATTGATCACTCTGGAACTATAACTGTAGATGAAATTAAAAAGATATTAGGAAACAGCAAGGGGAAGAGCAATCCAAATGATGATATCGATGATAATGAATGGGATAGAGTACTTGAAGAAGTTGATAAAGATGGGAATGGAGAAATATCTTTTGAGGAATTTAAGGAGATGATTTATAATATGTGCAACATGGAGATGGAAAAGAAGCCAACTTTAGCTTTAGAAGAAGAGTTGAAAGATGGCAATGGTGGTGGAGAAAATAACAAATAATTTAAATAATAAGTAAGTCTTTTGTAAAGTATGGGGACCGAGAAGACTTAGAGACGTAAAAAGAAGAAAATCATTATTACTAATAAAATAAAGACGAAGAAATCTTTGAAAAATCCCAATACAGATCTTGAAAAGTAGTAAACTAATTAATAATAGTAGCTAGATGCATCTCAGTAATAAAACATTTGATAAGGATTTTTGGCTGGCTTTCCATATATAAATTTAATTAGTCCATCCATAGAATTATCTGTAAAGTTTTAAATCTCGCGTAATTCTACCTATGATTATTATTTTTATATTTTATGCATAAATTCATAAATGCGCATTTTTTGTGGTAACGGGGTTTTGGGGTTTTGGGGTTTTGGGGTTTTGGGG